GCGACTCGTCGGGTCGTTCCTCTGTTGCTGAAAACGCGGAGATAAAGTGGAGAGTCCTGGGAAAGTACGTCTGTATCCACCGGTACATTCGGTAGGGGAATCTGAACACTTCCACTCAGCACCAGGCTATGGAGACCGGAAAAGAAGAAAGCCATGTAGGGCTAACAATCCAACAGCAAAACTGATAAAAGCCATTTTGCAAGTTAAATACGGTATACATGACTTGAAGTGAGAAATGGGGTCCTTTTGGTCAATAAGATACCAGGCACAATCACTGCTGACCCACTCATCTTCCCTGGGGATTTTGAGCCAGATACTGTCTGTCTACTAAAATGAGGGCAGGAGAGAGGGTCTGGATGCTGGATTTGGGCTGCTGCATAGCCAAAGGTGGAGTGTGGGGCTGAGAGAGGTATCAGCATAGTTATGGGAACCCTAAAGTTGCAAAGGTGGGAAGGAAAAAAACAGGGAAGTTTCTCAAAACAACTCTATGAGGAATGAACCCAGAGAGTCTGATAGGAGGTAGAACAGGACTGGACTGGAATATCTATCCCATCAAGTCATGCCAAGGGTAGGGGAAAGAATATGGCAACTTTTTAATATGGCTTTTGCTGTTCATATGTAATACATTAATGTGTGATAGAAATGACCATGTTACACAGTTTAATTAAATGCTCCTTTGAGAACAAGGGCTAATAATAGGTTTCTCCTAACTCTTATTTACTCAGAAGTCAGTTCCACTGAGCTCAGCCTGGAAGCCTATGTATGTGTAGCTACACTTCTATTCTGTAGAGCAGGGCTTGGTCCTGGGAAAACATGAATAGGGTTGCCTCGTGAAGCAGAACCTGGGGGTCCTACTCTGGAAACAAGAGCTGGATTGGTGTTGCAACTGGCCTTACCTCTTGAGTCTGGTGGCATGGAAATTCATGGGGATTTCCCATTGAAGAGGTTTTGGCTGTGATTGACACAATTTGAGGAGTAAAGTTAATACTTTCTATGAAGCCATGATGGGAGACTACTCTTTGCATTTGGAGGGAGAGTTCTGATGAGGATGTGGGGAGAGAGGTAAAATAGCCCAGTGCTTCAGCTGGGCCTCCCTCTTGATTTCCATGCTAATCCAGCCTTTCTGCCCTCCTTTGTTGTAGATCTCCTGGATGATCTGAATGAGAGCCGGGAATGCGTCAACTGTGGCTCCATCCAGACCCCCCTGTGGAGAAGAGACGGGACTGGCAACTATCTCTGCAATGCCTGTGGGTTGTACACCAAGATGAATGGCCTCAGTAGGCCCCTGATCAAGCCTCAGAAGAGAGTGGTGAGTAGTAGAGGTGATGGTGCAGAGATAAAAGTATTATAATTCTGTTTCCTCTCCTGTTTAAAGTTGTGCTGATAACTTGTCTATTAATGACATTAAAAAAACAGTCTAGTATGAACTCAGGAGCAGGGGTTACACAACACAATTTATTGTGGTTACTGAATTCATTTTTTGGCTTCCCATGGCACTTTAAGCCACATCAAAAGTAAAATAAAATAATTATTGTGTTGTATAAATGCAGCTGCTGTACCTTTAGCTGAAATAGTTAAGGATTGCATGTGAAGGCAGCAATAAAATAAGAACTCAACTCTATACCCATGCTTTGTTTAACCACTAAATTACACAATTCATTCCCTGCCCCTTCTGTAGCACTGAAATAAAGAGTTAACAGCATCTGGTTGTTGCCTTTCTGCTTTAGTCTTTGAGAGGTCCATACGTGAAAGTAGGACCTCACTGAAAATAAGAAGGTTTAGTAGACACAATTGCAGTGTTGCAAATATTTAAGATTGCAAGTCCTCTTGCAAACAATGGGAGGTCACGTTACTTATCTTTGGTTAACTGACCTTCTCACTTACATGATGCATCTGAGGAAGTGGCCTGCTGTCTACTTTTCAGTGAGAACATTGAATACTGTACTGGGCATGTCCAAGCGTGATTTTTTTGTGCTCTGATAATAAGGAGCACCAGGTGTGACTTGGAGTCTAAAACCATTATCTTCTCTTGAGGCTCTCCTCCTTTCAAAGCTACCCCGAATCCATTTATTTATTTATTTATCAATCAAATTTATATATGCTGCCCATCTCATTGGATAAGTGACTCTAGGTGGCATTACAAATAAAAAACTATAAAATCTTAGCAAAAATATACAAGTTAAAAAGTACAAAAGGTTAAAACTAAAAAAGTTAAAACTAAAAATCTAAAACTAAAAAAAAATTAGAAATCTGATCTTTTTTTTTTTTACATTTTTAGGTGCAAGTTTTTTGGTAATTGAGAGTAGGCAAATGACCTTGATTGTAGTTTAGCACATAGACTTGTTGCGTGCTTTATTCCAGTAAAAGAATATAGATGCTGTCTTCTTAATGAGCATTCATTTGCAGACCATTAGGGCAATAAGCATGCTCTGTTTTAAAAACCAAAACCGAGATGCTCACTCCCTACCAAATGAGCCTTGAGATTTTTAAGTCTGGATTTTAAAGAATTTAAAGTATGTCAGTGTGTGTAAGGATTAGAAACCACCAATTCCTTAGAATGAAACAATCTGCAAAACATCGGTCAAGCATTCTTGACCATTTTTATTTTAATGCCTTCTAAGCTAATTGATGCAGGAAATGGGCAAACCCTAAATGATGCCATTCTTTCTTAAGGGATTTAAATTAGACTTAATTTTTAAGGAGGAGATGTCTTTTTGAAAAGTCTCAATGCCATATGACTGATCTGATCTTTCCGTGTCAATGGCAGATGAGCAAGGTGATAAGTCCTCAGTGTCCCTGTGCAGTTTGAAAGGTGGGACATTAACGTCCAGAGCAGAGAAAGCAAGCAAGGGAGCCTTCCGTCTCCATTGTCCTAATCCTCCCCCAAGGATTCGTTTTGGAGGGAGAGAAGGATAGCAGCAGAACCCTAAACAAACTTTATCCCCCAGTACTTTATTCCAGTATGCCTACTATTTCACTTCCATTGCTGTTATCATCATCATCATCATCATCATCATCATCATCATCATCATCATTGCATAGGTAAGGGATATATGGTCAGTTATATATCCTATCTGTGGGTGACCATGGAATAATAATGGCATCATTAACTTAAGAGCTTATATACTAGTGTTTTTTTTAAAAAACTTATCATTGGAAAATAAAATGTATGCAGGGCAACATTGAGAACAAATTATTAAAAATGTTGCTTCTTTGCAGTGGTTGTTTGAGGTTTTGCTGTTAAAATGAGCTGATACTTGTAGGATAATGGATGCTAATTTTAACTTTTATATATATTTCCCTAAAAGAAATATTAAAACACATAAACAAAGAGCTAACAGGCTTTATATGAAACTCTTTCAAGTTCACCTCAGCTTATTTCAAGCTGTGGGCTATTATTGTGTTAACTTTGTTTAATGTATGTTGTCATACAAATAATCAGCACTTTGTTTCCATTCTTATTTATCTAAGCTGTGTCATCTCTGCCAATCTGTTGAAGGACAAACAGACAAATAATGCCCTCAAGTTAGAGACAATGTATTTTTAAAAGTCACACTTTCCTCATGAGATTATCATCTATTCAATGAAGTGCCCTTAAACCAGAAGGCTTTTCAAAGTTAATCACTACCAGGGTTTTGCAATTGGTTATCTCCCTAATTTCATTAAGTGCAGCATAACCTAATTAGGAGGAATGAATGGAATTGATTGCTTTGTCATTTTTTCCTCCAATTCTTTTGCCTTAACGTGCATTGTAGAGATGCTGTACAGCTACAGCATGGTGCTCCCTAAAACTATGTCCATGCATTTCAAACAAGCGAGCAAGAGGGATCACGGACGTATCTTTCTCACATCTGAAAAATCTGTGGCCATGTTAAAATTCAAGAACAGAAATATGATATGCATTTCCATGCTGTGTTTCCATGGTAATAATGCATATTTTTAAAAATAGTTTGGATGTAAGCTACTAAGAATGAACTATCAGTAGCAATAGGTTGAAAGGGATCTATCATTCCCAAGTTCAAGGAGAAATGTATGCCAATTTAAATGGATTTCCTGGAGTCTGGAAAATGGAACTGTTGAGGTTTTTTTTAATTGAAAGCATAGTAATATGACTGTACACTGGGTATAATCCAGCAAAAATTAATCATACTGAGATCAGTCAAAATTATCTCTATAGCTACTTCCATGTAAATGTATGTATTTATTTACTTGTTCAGTTTCTATGGCCACCCATTCATCAGGTGACTGAGTTAAGGGAGACTTCCACCCAGATAAGCAGGTATAAATTTGTACCTATAACTGTGAGAAGTCTGTTTACGTTACCTTTAGTAGAATTTGCAAATGGCTATTGCTCTATGATATTCATTATTAACAATTCCATTTAATGTACAGCTGGCTGGAGCTTAAACTTGCTAGACAGCCAGCCCTAAACACGATCGGAGAATGAATTTATCTACAAAACCATTTGCCTTTTTTTTTTACATTAGAACGCTGACTGATTTGCTCCTGATAAGCTTGAATATCTAGCAATTCATATTATTTCTTTTTCCAAAAATCTTATGCTTATATAGCGTATTTGTCATTAGAACAACATTTTAATGGATGGATTTACTATATTATTGTTATCTTAATTGGATACATTTTATTGGTGCATGTAAAAATAAAACGAGAGTCTTTAGCTCTAAGGCAATAGTAAATAATGTAAGTAACATTATCCTTGAATTAGAAGGACAGTAATCACCAGCCTGGCAGATTCTGGTGAGTTTGTCCAGCACTGCTTGAGGCAAAGGAGCCTCCCTCAGCTAGGTTTGACTCCCGGTGTCCGGATAGACTTAGGCAGATTGTTTCCTTGACCACTTTATGGAATTCTGGGATCTTTTCTTACCTCCCAGTCTAGTCTACAGCCTTATTTATTTTGTTTGTCACATTTGTAAGGCTGTCCGACTCCAGGAAGGCTCAGGCTCTGGGTGGCGGATGACATTAAAAACAGCAAGAAACGATATAATAAAGGAAAGAATGAGATGTGTCCAGAAGCGAACCTTCAAACTATCAGACAGAACCCTATGAGAGGCTGGCCACCT